TAAAAACCTTTTCCTTTTACTGATTTTTGTGATATTTTGTTTGTAGGTATTCTTTATTTTATATTATTTAAATAGATATTAATAAATTTAAACACTTATACTATTAAAAAGCTAATTCAAAAAGTCTTAATTAATGCTTAACTAACAAAAAAAGCAGAAATTCATAGTAGAGATGAGCAATGAGTTGTTCTAACAGTTAAAAAAAAAATATCTTCTTTGTCACCAGAAGTAAAGGTTATTTATTGTTATTAAAAAAAACTAAATTGCTAGATGGTGGATGCATGTCTGACATGTTTGTCCCATAGACTTAAAATGAACCTTTGCCTTCTGCCACACCTGAACTATTTCACCTTTCTCAAATCTCTCTTCAGCATCACCTACAGGATAACAGCTTTAATTTGATAACAGAATCATATTTTTAGTTCCAAATGTTTCCTCAAACTAAGTCATACAGACTCAAATCTTGTTTCAATTAATATACAGACTTTTTTTAACATCCAAGAATAGATAAGATATTTGTTTCCAGTTCTTTACAATCTTTATAAGTTCTTTATAGTTCCAGTTCTTTACAGATTGTAAAGAACTGGAACTATAAAGAACTGTATTTTTTGACTCATGTCAAAATTCCATTTTTTATTTTAATTATATTTTTATTTCTTGATTTGACAAAGTTTATTGAATAGTCCTTAACAGCCTACAAACCACACAACAACTTTAAGTTGTGTTAACCTCTGTATCTTATTGGGTGATTTGTTCCATAATTCTGCTAGAGAATCTATAATACAGTCGACCCCCTATAACGCTGTTGATAATTCTGTTTTATATGAATTTCGTGTTGTACGAGTCACTTAGATTTTACAAATACAGTTGACCCCCCTATAATGTGCGTTCCTATAACGGAAATTCCTATAACATAGCGAAAAAATTGTAGCAACATACGTATAAAGGACCTCCTAAAACGTCGTTGCCGACTCGTTTCGCGACAAGATTGATAGAATCTGGACCAATAGTGGATGAGCAGCCGAACTACTTTCCTCCGACCCTGCGCCACGCTACGGAGCGGCTAAATTGAGTTTGCTATCGTCTGTTTAGTATTATATATAAATTAGGTACTGTACATATAATTATATATTAATTATATATAAATTAGGTACTGTATATATAATTATATATTAACTTAATTTATTGTAACTTTATTATAATTATATATATGCTTTCTGCCGCCTGGCAACACGCTACGGAGATTTTAGGCTAGTAAGTTGAGTTTATTATCGTCTGTACAGTATGTAAATTAGGTACCGTAAGTCTAATACAGCACTAATTTTATACATTTCTTGTGAAAGAAACACTTCTTATTCAACGGCCATAAAAATTATTTATATTAATGATGTCTCCAAAGGTCAAATTATTTTTCTGCAAAAAATTCGTTATCAGAAATCGCGGCCACCGTTTCGTGTGCTGTTCCGCGACGAAAACAAGCTTTGAGCAACAGCGTAGTCGAACGGTACACACTCGGTAAGTAATCCTATAATTTTTTGTTTATAGCATAGTTTATACAGATTAGTCCCAAAAAATTATACGTGTTTTGGAAATGTTGAGTGGAATTAGTCTAGAATCGGTTAATTTTATAGAAGAAAACCTTTCAAACAGCCTTAGTCCGTAAAGTTCACACCTATCGGGCTGCGATTGGCTCATGTATTTAATCATTCCTACAACGTAACATTCGATTAGCGTGGAACGTATCTAAGCGTTATAGGGGGGTCTACTGTACGTGTGCCAGGCTGTGAACGGCTCATGTATTTAAAATCTAAGTGACTCGCACAATATGGAATTCTTATAAAACGGAATTATCAACAGTGTTATGGGGGGTCGACTGTATATTTTATCATTGTTGGTTCATTTGTTTTTCCTCTGTAAGGTTCAGATGGTATGATGTATCAGCTTCAACTAAAACACATTCACATTGTATATTTTGTGCAAATTCACTAAGTATGCCAGCATACTTTCATTCTTTCTTTTGCTCTAAATTACACACAATCTGTCACTATAATATAACCAAGTGTGTGCACATTAATGCAATTCTGCTTGCTCCATCTGCTCAGCCATCCCATCCATCCATCCATACAAGAGTGTGCTTATCTTTAGAAAGACAAATAAGAAGCAAAAAATGCCACTTGGCAAAGTTCTTATAATTGGCCAAATTCAGTACTGTTTTTCTGACATGAAGAATAACAAAAATTAATTCTAATTACAATTATTTTTGTAGATTAATATAAGACAGAACTTAATTTTTATTTAACTATCAAGTTAGACTAATGCTAATTATTAAGCACTTGTTAACAAGCTTTTACAGATTTTTTTACCCACTGCACATAAAATATATATTTAGTGTTGTGAACATATGGGGTATGGTAAAAAACTGGACTGTTCCTACTATTTAGCAATAGTGAAAAGTCTTTTACCATCAAGGATCTCATTTCATCATTAGTCTACCAAGTGGCATTGAGTTTTTTAAGATAGAACACTTGCTACATGCAACTTCGTAACTGTTAGCATTGTGCTGTGATTTGAGAATAAACTTTAAAACTGAGCAAAGAACAAATGTTAAATTTTGCATTAAGAACTTAGGAAATCTGCCACAGAGACCTTTGAAATGCTTCTGGAGGGCTATGGAAATGAAACTATAAAAGAGATCACAATCAATCTCCAAGACCCAAGAAAGCAAGGCAAGTCAGGAGCATGACAGCATATTTGATCTTTTTTTCTACTATAAGTGTGTTTTTTACTGGGAATTTGTTCCTCTTGATCAGACAGTGAAGTCAGTCTTTTACTGCAACATTTTAGAGTGAGTGCATAAAGACAATTGTTGTAAAAGATGGAAACTGTGGTGCAACCAAACCTTATGCCATCATGAGAACACTCGCAGACACACAGCCATCAAAGTGTTTTTGGCAAGAAACAACACAACAGTCCTACCCTACCCTTACATGCTAAATTTAGCCGCATGCAGTGGTGATATTCGAAATATTTAACAAAGGGTTCGCTAACAGAAACTTTTTCCTTAACAATTTTTTTTCGCTCAAACGGTGCATTAGCAACATTAGCACAAAAACTGACCTTAAGATACCCATATAAATAAAGATGCGTTCGAAAAAATAAGTCAAAATTTAACATTTTTTATGCCAGAACTAATTTTTTTTTATAAATAATAATAAAGTGTGTTCAAAATAGTTTATTTTGTACATATTTTATTACAACACGTGTTCCGCAGCCATCTTGTATTTTCTCGCACGCGTGGGATTTTGGGATCTCTCTTATGACTGCATCTAGTTTCAAGAACTCTCTTGAGTCGACCACTACTGAACCTCATTTCAGTCGAGATTGAAACAGTCGAGGGAGGTCGCATCAAGGCGAACATGGTGTAGGGCTCTAGTTTATTAGTGTTACAGAGTATAATACATATATTTTAATATATTTTTAAAAAGAAACAAAACCACTGAGAAATGTTACATGTGTTTAACAAGGTTCGGAAAACTTTGAAAATGTTAACAACGGGTTCGGCCGAACCTGTGCGAACCCGCTGAATATCACCACTGGCCGCGTGTGATGTCTTTTTGTTCTCCAGATGAAATTGAAGCTCAAGGAGAAGGTGTTTTGATACAATCAAGATCCAGTCCAAATCACAACAGATGTTTTGGAATTTGAGACAATGACTTCCAAGAAGCATTTGAGGCTTGGCAGAAGCAGCAAAATTAGTATAACTTACATTTATAAAGCAATTTGAAGGGGATTGCAACCAGATTTAAATTAGTTCATTATCAAAATCTTTACAGACCAAATCTGTTTTCTTTTTTTTTTTATTACACCGCATATTTTTAAAACAAAACACTTATATTTAGAATTGCTTCTCTTTCAACATAAGTTATAATCTCTCTTCAGGTTTTCTCTTTTTCTGCACTAATAAAAATCATAGTCCTTTACAAAACAGGAAGCTGCAAAAAATTAAAAATGTCTGGACAGTATTGTTGCAATCCAATTCAACAGGTTTTATTGTATAATAAAAGTATTTTTTTTACTAATCATAAAAAATACATAAAATTCTAGATTTTTTTAAGAATCATGAAATCCAATTATTAAAGAATTATTATTCCAAAATAGAATTCAGTACTTTGGAATAATAATTTCTTTCTCACTTTAACTAAAAAATATTCATAATAATAAATCAATTTTTAAAAATTTTCTGTTTGTAAAAATTTGAAGAATGTCATAGGATTGAAAATTGTTTGATTTGTTTTATTGATGATAATCATTTTACATTACTTATACTAGTTAATTATTTCAAAATTTTAAAAATTTCAAATAAAAAAAAAAATGTAAAAATATGAATTTAAGCACAGTTAGACATGCATTGATAATGCTAACATATAATTTACATTTATTTTGACTATGACTATATCAAAATCTTCTCAAGCTTGCTGTAGAAGCAAATAGCAATAAAATGCAAAATTAAGCTGCTTTTTAGCTTGCAAATTAAAAATATAATATTTTCTAATCTACATATTTACTATTAAACAGAAATAATGTAATAGTTTTTTTTAATTAATTAAACAGATCTATTAAAGTTGAGGCTTATTCACAAATAATGTGGCACTCTATTCAGATACAATCACACAAGGAATGAAGTTACTAACTGTTTTAGAAGTTTTTTATTACTGTCAGTTTGTCAAATATGCATTTTGAGCAGAGTCCCTCATCAGTTTGTCCTGATCTGAGATTACAATATATGTATTACAAAAATATATTGTAATAAAAGAATGTATTTATTTTATGTTTATCTTTAACTGATATATACTTTTTGTAATAACCTTAACAGCCTCAACCTTAATAACAAGTATATATGGATTTTGAAACTCATTGAAAGATATATTAAATTTTGTCTAAATTTTTAACAAAAAATTACAAGCTTTTACTTGGTAAATTAATAATAAAATATTACAAACTTGAGGTCCTTGTTGAGTTTCTTCATCAAAAGGATTTCCAACAACACGCTTCAAAGCTAATTCAGTGCTTTTCTTAACAAAATCATCATATATGTCTTCATGAACAAATGTACGAGTTCCAGCACAACAACATTGTCCCATATTTGCAAAAACTGCTTCATGAGCAATTTCTACTGCTTCATTCACTGAAAAATTTTAAATTTGATTCAATGAAAATATTTTTTAATTGAAAAAAGAAAATAAAGATAACAATAATTTCAGTCTATTATTTCAATAAATTATTTATTAAATACACAAATTTTATTATTAATATATGTAGCACAAATCATTATAGGTAATATAGTTTAAATTTTTTAAATACAAATTACTGGTCATGTTACATGAAATGTGACAACATATAAAATGATCTTAGTCATTTCTTAATTAAGAAGTAGAAGTAAGGAAATGCTTCCAAAGATGAGCAAAATAATAAATTTGCCAAGATTTGACAAATTTATAACTTTGCACATCTATTGCCTACATGATTTTCAATGTTTTCTGTTAATCAGGAAACATTATTCTACTGACTATTATCATTATAATTTTATGATTTTTAATTGTAATAACTTTTCATAGATATTAAAAAGGTATTTTATATTTTGAACTATATTATATATGTAACATTCTTTTATGATACATATTTCTTTAAATATTTTTGAAAAAAATGTTATTTTTCAAAATATTTTCAAAATTGATGATTTCATAAAAATGACAATGGAGGAGGAAAAGTTAGAAAATCAGTTCTAAAGTCATCATTTGATAAAAAATGTAAAAATATTCAGAAGAATATTGAAAAGTATAGAACTGGTATTTACATAAATACTCACAATTCAAATCTGTTCTATGATATTCAAATGATGCAGATGATATCTGCACTTTGTCAGGTTTTAAATGTGTAGACATTTTGAAAAAAAGCTTTATTGATAATTAACTAAACAATGATTGCAATTCAGCCTGGTAGGTAATCACCATCAATACAATCACATTTTACCACCTATGCTAAAACTTTCCATCTGTGAGCACAGAATGACTGGAGTTTTTCTTTGAAGAAAATCTCAAGCATCAGTTATCGTCATTGAACTGTGTATTGGCAATATTATACAGGGTGTGAAATAGACTGTAATCAGTTGGTTCCAAGTCTGGGCTTTATGATGAATGAGCTAAATCACTCTTGTGGTTTGCACCAAGGGAGGATCCATGGGGTAGGGCTCATTGAACAGCACAATCTGTTTTCTACAAACATCAGCTCTCTTCCTACATTTTCCACTACTCAAAGAGAGAGCTGGATTGACATTTGTATTTGTAATAGCCTTTTACTCAACAAAGTCACCTACTGCTCTACTCTTGACATTGAGAATCCTAGTGACCATAATTATATAATGACAAAATCGACCAATATGTTCATAGTGGAAACATCAAAATTACCAGGAAGATGAACTGGGACTTGTTTGAAGAGACCTTAACATGGGACCCGAGCCCATTCTTTTACATTCCGACAACTGAAGATCTGGACCTTCTAATCAATAAGCTGACCTCTATTATACTACAAGCACACAATTCTGCTACCAGACAAAAGAAAATCACTTTGCAAAGTTATCTAGTGGAACTCAGCACTAGCAGAAAAAAGAAAGAAAATCAGAAAGCTTAAAAGGAACAAATAGACACCCACAATTGCCATAAATAATTGGGCTATAATTTGGAAATATTAATTACGTATTACAAATAAATTTGGCACTAGAGGTTAACCATATTAGCTGTCGATGGTTATACATTAGGCTTATATATACTGGAAGAGGAGATCGGACTGAAGATCTGGGTAGCATAAATGGCAACATGTCCACACAGTAAGCGGGAGTTGCGGGTTTGAGTCCCACTTTGGGCAGATTTCAGCTTCTTTTCGTCCAGTTTATTCTAAATTAATTAATTAAATGTTATAATTATTAAATCTAATATGAGATGGCACCTAATGCCTTCCTCTAGTGCCAAATTTATTTGTAATTCATAATTAATATTTCCAACTTATAGCCCGATTATTTACAGCAATCATAGGTGTCTATTTGTTAAACATTGGGGTTTGGTAGATGTTTATATATTTTAAAAGGAACTTTTGGAAAGAGACTGACACAAGAAGGAAAGAGGAAGCAAGGGAAAACTACATTAAAGAAAGAAAAGAATACAAATAAAAGCAGGATGGAGTCCTGGAAAGACTTTTGCTCTAACATCCATGGTGATGACCCTTGGAAAGAGCCATTTTACATCACATCACCTTCAAAAAGGCCAAAGTCTCTAATATTCCAAATGCAGTAATGAAAGAAGCTGCATATCAAACCCAGAAGAAACACATGATTATATCCTGAGCAATCTCTTTCCTGAAGACAATCAACATAATAGGTAGAGGCTGCCCTCAAGGCTCCTGCTCTGGACCCCTCTTGTAGCTCATGGTGTATGACAGCCTTTTGAGGATACAGAACAGTCAAGCTCCCAATCAAGCAACTTCCAGCACTACAATTGTGGGCTTTGTAGATGATACACTGATAACAATGTGCCACAGGAATCAAGGGGTCCTACAAGTTAAAATGAATAACCTCCTGAGATCTATTAATAAATATATTTTTTTATTCATTTATTTATTATGAGGTACACAAATTGTGTTACATACCTGGCTCCGCAGGAAGCACTACCAGGTCTATTAATAAATAAACCAAAAACAACAAGTTAAACATTAATATTGAAAAATGCAACTCAATAGTCTTTCCCAGGAAAAGGCCCCTAGTCAGGAAACTGACCATCGAAATAAATGGCCAAAAGATTCGGACATGTACCAAAATAAAATACCTTGGGGTCCTGATAGATAACATCTTAACCTGGAATCCCCACATTCAAAAAATCAAAAAAAATGTAGAAATCTGGCCCACTCTCTACAGTCTATTTGCAGGAACCAATGGGGTATAAGACACCATGCCAGTAGAACAATATTTAAATGTGCAATTGAACCGGCAGTTCTATATGGTGCCGAGGTGTGGGGAAGGGCAATAATCAAGGAAAAAACCAAAAAGAACATCTTGTCTATTCAACAGGCCTGCTTATTAACTGTGGCAAGGGCCTACAGAACAGCATCAACAAATGCATTACAGGTGTTTGCCAATTCACCTCCATTATATCTCAAAATCCAGGAAACGTACTGGAAGTTTCACCTAAGAAATCCTAATGGCCTCCTTAAGAAAATATCCTTCCAGCAGATATTAAAAGCATCACCAAGCACATCAATAAACATAACATGGATTGCAATCATAAGCCTGCTGATAGCCTACCACCTTTAATTAAATGGGATCCACACCACTACCCAAAACAACCAACCACAATCTTTACGGATGGGTCCATGTTTAATCCACAGATTAAACACGAAACTAAATGTCACTGCTCAAATAGTGACTCTCAGTTGTTTACAGTAGAATTCTTTCATGATAGTGATGTTGGTTGTAAGCAGCTCTATCATAATGACACAAAACAAATGCAGATTATTGCCTTTTTTTCTGCACTATTGGCCCTTTGATATTTTTAACAGCTAGTTGACATTTGTTCACCAATGAAAACTTTAATAAATGCTTTGGAGAGATTGGAGAGGATGAGATTGGTATGTCTTCATTGTGTTGGGGCCCCTTTCAAAGTGATAGAGCAAAAGCATGCAAATATGTTCTTTTGAAAGTTTTAAAAAAACATATTTACATGCTGTTGCAGACATTACTGAGTAATCTGTTTCCAAAGAAATATGTGAAGAAATGTCCTTTGGTTACTCTACTTATATACCCACATCAAATGTTCTACAAAAATCAATCAAAATGTCTAGATTTCACCTCTAAATCTGATATAAACTATAGCATTTTATGTGAGATGATGGTAATACAGCATTTTAGTAACATTTTCATAATTATTTAATTTAAAGTAATATTACAAAATGATTAATGTAATGATACTTAACAAATGAAAATCTAATCAGAAGATAAAATTATGCATTAAATATCTGCTATTATGTAAATAAATTATCTCAAAAAACAAATTACCATCAGCATCTGGAAAAACAACTAAGGGACTCTTTCCTCCTAATTCTAAACTGACTCGTTTGATATTAGCACGTCCTGCTGCTTGCTGTATTAATTTTCCAACCTACATAAATATTAAATATATAAAATTTTTCTTTTCAACATTTAAAAAACTAACTATTTTTTAAAAAGATATAATTACTTGTAAATATTCTTGCTTATCTGGATTAATGCTTCTTGATGTAACCCAGGGCAACATCAAGATACAAGGTGTGATAACTCTGTACAATTAGCCAGTCCTGGGCTACATCAAGAAGATGGTATAATTATTTAAAAAGTTTAATATAATGTACAGTGGGTGATCAGTTAACGAACACTTTTGCAAAAGATTTTTATGTTCAGATAATGAACACCTCACAGAACAAACACAAGAAGAAGTGACAAGAAAAATAATGAATACCAATTGGTCTTCCCTTGTCTTCAGGCAACAATTCAAAACTTTTCAAAGTGCAGGAGACATTGATATTGATGCTCAACCCGGTATATACTGATTGGATAGTATTCCTCCGAACTTTGAAACTCTCCCTTGTAATTCTAATCTTTTATTTTTCTGACAGAAACAATACTTTTATAGTATTCATGAGTCTGTCAGGCAGACACTCGTTAACTTTTGCGTTGGTTTTTATTTTCGAAAAGTGAGAGTATAATAGCAAAGGTAGAGAGTGGGCAGATGATGTCTGATGTTGCTGGGCAGTATGGCTTGAACAGGTCTACAGTAGGCCACAGTTCAAGCTTATTTAAGAAAGATACAGTATAATCGAAAAGACTCAAGCAGCTAAAGGAATAACAAAAATCACATCTGAGAAATAAAGAACATTGAAGAGGTCATAATGGAACCTGAAACAGAAGAATGTCAAGAACTCTTGAATGAAGAACACTAAGAAAATCGGCAAGATATGTTTTCTTCTAAAAAAGAGGATTAATACTGCTATCTGTTATTAAACATCTTTTGAAGAAGTGGGAGGATGTCAGAACAACAGTCTTAGAATGTCATCCAAATCAGGTTGAGGTTAATAGGCTTGGGGATCTCTACAATCACAATGCTATTAATTACTTCTGAAAAATCTTGAAGAAAAGAGAAAAGCAATTGACATTAAACAGATTCTTTAACCCTCACAAATGAAGAAAACATGACTAATAAAAATGCAAGACTGCGTATGTATGTATTTTTATTATTACACATAAATAAACATAGTAAGAAAGTATATATATTTTATTTTTTGGGGTCTCCAGAATGAATTAATCAAATTCCCATAAAAACCTATGGTAAATCAATAATTGGTTAATGAACAATTTGGATAGCGAACAAAGTCTTGGAATGGATTATGTTTGTTAACCGATCACCCACTATATTTATTAATAATTCTAAATACCAGAATTCCTTGCATATCTTGTCTAAGTTTGTAACAAAATTTTTGCATCATTATAACTGAATAATTTGAAAAAAAAAAAAAAAAAATCAGATATTTGTCATAAGTTTAACCAACACTTGGCAAGTTTTCCATCATTATTTAGTTAGTTTAGTTTCTAACTAAATAAAGATGGAAAACTTGCCAAGTATTGGTTAAATGGTCACTTCATCGTGCCAGTATACAATACATAAACAACAACACGGTTTCAATAACAACAAGATCATAATTAATTAATATTACAGAAATTTGACAAATTCTAATAGTTTCATTCATAACAAATTTCATTAAGTGTACTCAGTGGTGATATTCAGCGGGTTCGCACAGGTTCGGCCGAACCCGTTGTTAAACACACGTAATATTTTTCAGTGGTTTTGTTTCTTTTAAAAAATATATTAAAATATACGTATTATACTCTGTAACACTACTAAACTAGAGCCTTATACCCCATTCGCCTTGGTGCAACCTCCATCGACCGTTTCAATCTCGATCGACTCAAGAGAGTTCTTGAAACTAGTCCAGTCGTACGAGAGGTCCCACAATCCCATGCGCGTGAGAAAATACAAGATGGCTGCGGAACACGTGTCGTGCTATTGCCAGCGAAATAAAAAAGATATTGTATTTCGATAGACGATGACATCTGTCTATTATTATAATAATACCTAATGATAAAATAAATGATTTAGAAAAGTTTTTTTTTGAGGAAAAGTCATAGGGAAAGCAGTTAAACCTGACTTTTCTGATTAAAAATAAGCCAATTTTTATGTTTATAAATTATTTCGAATGAAAAATATAAAAATATGTACAAAATAAACCATTTTGAACACTTTTTTTATTATTATTTATCAATATATATAGTTCTGGCGTAAACAATGTTAAACTTTAACTGACTTAATTTTGCGAACACATCTTTTTTATTTATATGGGTATGTTAAGGTCAGTTTTTGCGCTAATGTTGCTAATGCACCATATGAGCGAAAAAAAATTGTTAAGGAAAAATTTTCTGTTAGCGAACCCTTTGTTATATATTTTGAATATCACCACTGAGTGTACTGTACAGTACATGTAATATAATTACATAAAAATGTACTTCTTCAGATGGATGGGATCAAATATTCAAAAATCAAAACTTTACAAATAATGCACATTTAACTTATTTCATTTCTTCTCTTTAGACATCTTTTGCTGTAGCAAAACTACTAAAAAAATATTGAGTGGGCCAAATTTGTGTGATATTTGTCTTCAGATGCTCTGAAATGTAACTATCTTTAGTTCAAATCTTGAAAAAACTTCTTATTTGATAACTAACATTTGTCTGCACGTTTTAACTAAAAAGTTTGAAGATAGGGTTTATTTTATAATTTTTGATGTAATTTTAAAAATGACATACAAAAAAGAAGTATTCTTGGTTGGCATATTATGTTGTTTTATGGGACAATGCAAACCTACAAAAAGTATTTTTTGATGTTACTCTTTCTGCTCTATAGACAATAAGAGGAGGTTTTAATCAAGCTCATTGTGAAAACTCACAACGAGCTTGATTAAAACCTCCTCTTATTGTCTATAGAGCCCATAACAGGACAACCAGAGAGAGTCTTATTGTCTCAGTCAGGCCCGTAACAGGACAGCCAGAGAGAGGTGAGTTCTCAGAGGTGAGGAACAGGGTCCAACAAACCTGGAATTTTTCAATTCATCCAAATTCATTCCTGAGTACCTCAGAGCAATAGGCTGACACTACTCAGTCATTTGGCCATTTATGCAAGGGGAAAATGTCATCAAAGAATGTGTGTACCAGAAGTGATTTGAGAAATTTCACTTCAGAGATTTTTCTCTCCAAAATGTACCATACTATGGTGATCTCAGGAGAATCACAACATCAGCAATAATCCTCATTATACAATACAGGAAATTGCATTACTGAATAAAGATAATTTTCTTCCACAAAAAAAATTTGTTTTGTATTTAGATGTTAAAAACCAGAAAACTTTACAGTCTACCCAATAAAAAATTGAATTATTTAATATTTGTTATACTTTTAAAACTCATATTTTAAAGCTCCTTTATCATCCCACAAATTCCCATGTCAAAAAACAAATAAAGGCATCCCTGACTTCAAGCAATATACTTCTAAAAATATAGTGTGTGAAAGTTGAATAACTGAAAGTCAACCAATAGAACTTCATGTTATAAGGGAAGTTTCATTCCAGAGAGCTAAAAAGATAAAATAAAAAATTTCTTATTGATGTAAGCAAGTTTTACTTTTTTACAGTAAATGTGTTATAATGCATAAATATTATTTAAAATGTTAGGATCATAGATTAAACAGTAAACAGATGATAATTATTTTTTATAAAACATCCATGTCACTAAAACTGGCAGGAAGTGCCACTGCATAGTAGCTTGAAATTTTTGTCAGCTGAAAATATATGAAAGTCCAAGCTGTCCAAAAGCCAAAGATGGCAAGTGTATTTGTATTTTATGGTGTATCATTTAAATTTCCATTTAAAAAACTCTAGTATAAAATTTATAGACTTTACAATGTTTGAAAAAAATTCATAACTCTATTAATTTCTTTCTATTTTATTTTTATTAAATACCTCTGTTGATCCAGTAAATGCAATCTTATCAACATCTGGATGTTCAGCAATACTTCCACCAGCTGTTGGACCATAGCCTGGCAAAATACTTATAACTCCTGGAGGGAATCCCACTTCTTTAAATAAATGAGCACAGTAAAGAGCCGTTAATGGTGTCTGTTCTGCCGGTTTTAGAATTACAGTATTTCCTGCAGCAAGAGCTGGTCCAAACTTCCATGAAAGCATTAAAACTGGATAATTCCACTAAAATGAAAAATAAATAAATATTACAGATTTATATAATTCATAGTTAATAAATTAAAAACTATAGTTCTTATTAATTCACGTTTTGATTTAGTTTAGTTTAATTTTACTAATAAAGATTAATTTTTCAATTTTTATAAAGAAAAATGATAAAGCAATAATACCATAAAAATAGCACATCATATAAGAATAAAGAAAAGATGAAAATTCAGTTTCTTTGAGTTAGGAATGTGCAAATTGAAGGAACACAAGGTGTTGTGTTCCTTCAATTTGCACATTCCTAACTCTTAGCAGCTGGTTAAGCTTTATTAAAGAATTAGAAGCAAATTAAACCTTAATTTCAAATACATAATTTCAATACCATATACCGTATTTACTCGCATATAAGACGAGGTTTTTATTCATTTTTCACTGCTTCAAAAACTTAGGTCGTCCTATACACGCAAACTAAGGATTCTTTGCATTTTTGCAATAATTTCTGTGAACAGATTATTGGTTCTTGTCCCCTTCAAAGTACTCCCATCCCCTATTCAGCACTTATCTCACTTATTCCACTTATCTCAGCAGTGTTTCCATTTTGCAAAGCGGTCCTGGTAAGCTTTCATAATGTCCTTCAATGCTTGTGACGAATTTGTTTTAATGTCATCAATTGTGTCAAAACAGCATCCTTTCAGCACTGATTTTAATTTTAGAAACAAGAAAAAATTGCAAGGAAGCAAGTCTGGTGATTAGGAAGGCTGGTGAGGACTGTTTTTGGCACAAAACTGGCAAATTGTTTTTTGTTTTTTGGCACAAAACTGGCAAATTGACAAGATCAAATGAGCAGGCACATTGTCATGGTGAAAGAACCATGAGTTGTGTTGCCATAACTCTGATCTCTTTTTGCAAATTTTTTCACACAACCATTTCAAAACACCCATGTAATAGTGATGGTTGACTGACCTTGAGGCAAAAATTCAAAGTGCACAACTCCATTGAAATTGAAAAAAATCAATGATCATTACCTTGACATTGCATCGAGACTCATGCTTTATTTGGGCATGGCAATTCCTTGCCAACCCACTATGATGATTAAACTTTTGTCTCAATGTCATAAACCCAACTCTCATCATCCATTATGATTCTTTGCATGAATGTTTTGTTATAGTTGGCTTTTTTTTAAATGTATGACTTTATGCAAAGTGATGCCAAGATTAACCAAAAGGACCACCAGAGGGCTAGAAGCAGTTAAATACACTACAAGACACAGTAAATATTGTAGAAATTTTAATCATTGTTTTATTGTGAAGATGCTGTAGCCTCTAATAAAAGGTCAGTGTTTTGATCATATTTTAACTTTGTCATAATTTTTAATATTCTATATCTATTTGGATGTCTTAAAAGAATTTTATCTTGAAGTGTTTTGACTGTTACTTCTGGATTAGTCTGTGAAACAGGAGAATAGATAAAAATAATTTCTAAAAGTCTTATGTAATGTCTTTATTTCTTTAAATTTAAAAAAAAACTCCAAAGTAATGTTCTCTTCATAGTTGGCTTGTTGAAGGAGTTTCAGGCAAACATCCACTTGATTTTCCTTCTGTAGTTCAGTCAACAAACAAGAAATAAATTTTGCTGCAACTAGATGCATGCTCAATTTTTCTGTTAAAATGCCATGCACAACCTTACTGAGATCCCAATTTCTTCTGCAAGTTCTCTGACAGTTGAGACGAGGATTTGCATGAATCAGATCCTTGATTTTCTAAATGTCAGTGTCATCAGTTGAAGTCAAAGGCCTTCCTGGTCGAGGGTTATTTTATATTGATTGACAACCAGTTTTGAATCAGGTAAACCATTTGTAACACTGCATACAATCTCAAGCATTGCCTCTATAAGCTTGATCCAAAAGGTGAAAATATTTCCATAAAAGTTTTCCCCAGTTTCACACAAAACTTTACATTGCATCATTGCTCCCATAAATTGCACATTGCAAAAATTGCCACGAATACTGAAACACCTTTCACTCAAAAAACAATAATGCAGGAGCAAATCAAGATATTAATAATCTAAAAAAAGGCAGCTTATTCAGTAGGATCCATCTAATAAAACAAGTGTTGATAAATATATCACACTAACCTTTGTGATACATTAAAAAATATCTGCAAAGCATTTTAAGGTTAGTATGATATAATTATTCAGTAGGTTATCATGAATGCATGTTGCCAACCTCAACACTAAGACACTCCATTTCAACCCAATTTAAAAAATTTGATTATTTTTTGAACAGACCCTGTATATACAATCTTTCTTTAAATTTAATTTTTGTCCCTGAAAGGTGACTGAAAGTTTTTCCAGTTTAGAATTTTATTTTGGACTATTCTCCAGTTCATATAGATATTTCATATATTTTGAATATTTCTTGACCTTCAAGTAGAATAATTACTAATCCTTGGTGGAATGATCTGGATAGTAGTAAGCTAAAAGCCTTCATTTCATCTTAAAGTCTGGTCTTTGCTTTTAACTCATATCTTTCCTGTTTCATAGAAGATATATATCAAATTTTATAAGCTACTCAATAATTCTTTCATATAAAAAAGTAACTTTGTCTTATTATAAATGGTATATTTGTGAACTGGTAAAATTGAAAAACAAAATATGGAAGAACTAACATACATGAAAGAAATATGGGAACCCTCTTGATCTACATGTGCATAAATCACTTCAACAGAGATATTATCACAATTGCCAAGTTCAATTTGAATCTTATCTTAATAAAATTGTGCATCATTATGTATATAATTCTAAACCTTTTGGCATTTTCTACCTATATTTACTCATAAAAACACTACTGAAATACCAGATAAAGTTTACCGAATTTATGACTAGATAAAATGGAGATTTTACATTGCTTCATCTTAAGCTGCTTCCATCATAAGTAAGTACCCATTTTGCCATTTGACTTATAAATTTTCATACAATGAAATAATCCAAACAATTACCTTATTGGCCTAAATTGGCATGTTTTTCCTAGCCTTAAAGGAGCCAAAAAAACTCTTGACCTGTATTCAAACCTCAACTTATATTCAAGTCCAATTAGTTTTCTTCAATTTAAATGAACTGTCTAAGGCTCAGTACATGCTGTACTGAGTTAAATTCAGCATTTAGTGATGCTAAATGCTAGCCAAGTCTTTTATGTTATAGTCCACAAACTACGTATAAGAATTAAGTATTTAGCACAATTGTAAGTAATCAACTGAACTAAACTGACTGACTCTATTGATTACAATAAAAACTGTCAGTTTTGGTAACTTCTATAGAAATTTTATTTTGGTAACTTTTTTATTGTTAAAAATTGGGGGAAGATAAAAGAAGGTTGCTGAAAATTTACTTGAAAATTTATTCTATTGTAAAAGGTAAATTTCTATTGTAATTATACATTTCTCTATTCGATATGATTATATGTTTTAGACTTTATAACAATATTTTACAGTTACAAAAAAATAAGACAGGTAAAAATAAAACACAAAGTTTCAGTTTAATTTTCAATAGTCATAAAACTGCAAGTACACTTACTTTCTGGAATACATGTTAAATATGCAAGGATGCTTACTGCCCCTGGTGTTATATACAGTATATGCTGAGCAACTTACTACTTGGCATATAGGACATTGTCTCAATTTTGCTCTATAATTTTTATTAATTTCATTTTTATTGATATCAATGAAAAGAATCAATAAGTTAAAATTTGTCTCTTTAATATAGGCATCCAATGCATATATTTCTTTTTATACAACAAACCCTTTGAGTACATTTTTCTGATCAATTAGGTATGATTTAAATGCAAGTTATAAAAATTACTAAGAAAACAATCTAAAATCCATTGATTCCTAGATTTTTGTAAATATAAATTCAAAAAATTTTATTTCTATCTAAAGTAATATTGAAAAGAAAGATATAGAATTAAATGCAACTAATTTTCATAATCTATTGCACATATAAAAATTCCAAATATTCTTGTAAAATTATGAAATACTAGCTGTTACTCGCAGCTTTGTCCGTGCAGATTTTGCAAGCAAACCCCATTTATATTCAGTATTTCAACAACCATAGTAATTGTTATATAACACCTACCACTGAGAATGATGAGAATTGCCGAGAATCAAACAAACTATTTTCAATTTGATCAATTTTCTGGAATGTTTACAATCGTTCTATAATCGAACCAATATGCAATAACAAATTCAAATTTAAAACTGTTTGAACATTTTTTAAATCGAAATAGATAAAAATATTTATAACAATGTCTGAAATAGATGACTAGCACGACTTTATTGCAGGAAAGTGTAATGATAAAGTACAGGGGCAACAAACTACTAATTTGAGATGGAGAGCATATATTTTAAATTAATTAAAAATATGATTAAAACTTGCAGTCTAACATTATTCTTTATGAAATCTCTTAAACTGGTCTATTCAACAAATTCAATATCAGCATTACCTATCAAGAATGATTCTTGATAGGTAATGCTAATATTGAATTTGTTGAATATGTTAATACTTTGGGTGTGATATTCAAAAGTAAACTATTTTTTATTGCATATATAAGTAATAAATACCTTAAATCATCAAAATCATCATTACATTTTACTTTCCTGCTGTTATACAACAGAAAAAGTATGGCAATCAGTCAAAAAAAGACCCCCCAAAATTTTTCATTTTTGGACTCAAGGACTTTGAAACTTCAAGAAATACAAAAACAAGTCGGGTTTTTCTATATGTATGGATGTTTATGAGTTTGTGTTTCATGATTTTTTCACCCAGTTTTAAGCTTAATAACTACTATGCCTTTTGTCAAAAATTTCTAAAATTTTGAAGGGAGGCTTGTGTATTAAGGAGAAAGATTTTCTAAAAATTTTCAGGAAAATTGGACTATTGGTTCAAGGGATATTAAGGAGGTATAGACCAAATCTCAAAAAGCTTCCAAGTCATAAAATTTTTTTTTACTAATACAAATTTTTTGTTTACCAAAACATGAATGTATTTGTTTTGAAAATTTTTTCAAAAAATTTTTATTATAATTAATAATATACTTTTTTTTAATAAAATCTCATAATATGTGGTGCTATACACAATTTTAAACTTTGCTAATGTATTTCTTAACAGAAATATTTTTTGTAGTTATGCAACTCATTACTGCATTTTTATTATAGGAATATTGTGTTACACTTACTGGAATAATTTGACCACAAACTCCAATAGGTTCCATTCTTGTAAATGAAAAAACATTTCCATCTAAAGAAATATACAATGAAATTAATTCAGTTTCAGAATATAGAATCATCTTAAATTTTAAGTAATTTTTTAAAAAAAGCAATCATTTAAAATAAATTTAACTACCATAATTTTGTGCAATTTTGAAACTCAGTTTGAAAGCAAGTGCAGGTTATGCAATGATGTAGGCTATCTATGATTTTAACTTACAATTACAAACTTATCTAAGAGATTTTCCTTTCTCTAAAGTCATTGAACATGTTTTCAGAAAATGAAAAATTCTTTTATGACTGTTTGCAGACATCTGCCATTATAATTTTTCAGAAACCACCAAAGATATGTATAAGTATGCTTCATCTTCAGTTCTCTTCCATTTTCTGTACACCAATTCATATTTTAATTGATACTACACATTCCTACTTAAACTTTTATTACAGAAAATGTTTAGTTTCTAATAATTTCCTCCTCTCTATATAATAACTCTCAGTGAATTATTTAGGTTTTATTTAAAGGCTGAGTATGGGCTGACTTTCAAACCCATATCAATGGTTGTCATTCAAATTAAAAGTTTTTACAATTTAATTTTAGCATTTACTGTTATTATCATTATACCTTTTTTGTATATTATTGAATATACTATATTATACTATACTTTAATATATAATATATCATTCAACATATTATAATATAAATATTTTCTGATGAATAATTATGTAAGTTTAAAATGATTTTTATTCACAACAGCATTACTTTCCATCATTTTGTTAACAAAACTAAAGATAATTTCATATTGTTTTGCTTTATCTGCTTTATTTTTTAAACTTTACACAAGTTTATTTCAGCATTTATAATTATTAGTAATAAAATACAAAATAATAATTATAATATTATTTGATAAATAAAATAGAAATGAAGTAGTATTACAAAAAAAAAACCAAAATTGTGGTTTGGCATTTATTTTGTATTTCTGACACAAAGTTTCAGGGTTTCCATCTCAGTATTCTATTTCTTCATTATAAAGAACAGATAATGAAAATAGGATTAAAAAGTAATGTTTTTAATGTCTGAAATGGTAACTTCTAAACTACTTACAAGCAAAAGAAACTGTCATGCTTTCAGTGATATTTATAGAGACAACATTAATTTATAGGCATAGTGACCACTACAATATGCAAGTTTTTTCTAGATCCAGAAAAAATCTCCAGCTTCCCCTCTCAACAGTCTTGTTGTCTCACTATATGTGTAAGAAACACTGAAGTTTAAATCTCAAGTAAATGAACTTAAATACTGTGAACTTGACATTTGAAATTTCAAATAAATAATTAAATCAGTTTATGGACATCCTCAATTTACAAGATCAAAATTTTATTCTTTTCAGGATTATATGAACAAAATTAAGATAATCTTGTCTCTTGAGCTAAATGCCTTAGACTTTGTGGATTTGCTTCTAAGTACACTCAAATGTTTCAAGGTCTTTTCTCAGATAACTTTTTGTTTATAACAACTTTTGTTTGTTACAATTACACTATGGATAGCCAATTATTGAAAAACCTGTAAACATAAATCTTTGAAGGAATAGAGATTCAAGATGTTTTTGCATAAGCTATTGCTTTAATATCCAATAATATTTCTTCTTTATATAATATTTCCAACTATCAAAATTTTCTGTTATGTAGTATATTTCCAGTTATCATAATACATAATTTAACCTATCCAACTAACACTAAACAAAACTTCACTTTACTTCTATTGAGTAAACTTTTCATTTGTTCATCCAGTTTAAGAATGTTAATTATAGTATTTTTGTCATTATGTTATTCAATTTTATATATTGATATAATTTATTATAGTAATAAAACAAATTATATCCTAAATAGATAAAATATTTTAATCTAGTTTTATTGAAAATTATTTTTTAATTAACTAAATTTAAAAATGAATTTATAATTAATAAGCAATAGTTAACAATAACAATTATTATTGTGAAACAAAGAGGTCATTATTTATCTGGAATAAAAGTATTAATGAAATTTTTATTTATTTATTTACCTGCAGGAATTGTTTTTCCATGAATTTTGTCACACCACCCAGCATAATAACGGAATACTGTTATTGATGCTTCTATATCAAATTTTGCTTCATTAATTGGTTTTCCATTATTTAATGTTTCTAAACTCTATACATAAATATTTGAAAAGCATCAATTAAATTTTGATAAACAGATGTAAATCATAATTAAAATAATTCATAACTTACAGATATGTAATCGATATCTCTTTTCAATAAATCTGCAAATTTATTTAAGAGTATAGCTCTTGCAGAAGCATCCATAGTTCGCCAAACTGAACCAAGCTTGAAGGCTTCCCTTGCACTTTTAACAGCTTTATCAACATCTTCCTTTAAAATTAAAACAAATAACAATACTGTATTAGAAATTTCAAGTATTTTAGAATACAGACTTAATCTTAGTGAACTAAAGAAGATATCAGATTATACTACCTGTTTCATATATTTCTAAGCTATGTTCAATAAGCATTTTGGCTGGAGTGCATTTGTATGTCTAAATTTTGTCAATGGGTGTCAATAGTGTTTGGGTGATTTAAGGGCTGTGATACAGTATTACTTCTTGTTTGTTACAGAAGCCATGTAACATGCTGGACTAACTTTATTTTCTCTCGTAAGAGATAAATATATCCAAAGTTGCTTAATTTAATGTGCTGTAATGCAGTTTTTACTTTCTCAGTTGTCATATGTAACAGAACAGAGGGAAAGTATGGTCAATCAGTCAAAAAATGATCTCCCACGATTTTTACATTTTTGGAACTAGGGACCTTGAAATATTGAGAAATGCAAAAAAAAAATTGAGAATTTTGTCTGTATGTATTTTAGTGTGTGGGTGGTATGATTCTGTTCATCCACTTTGAAGTTTAATAACTCCATAGTTTTTATTGAAAATTACTGAAATTTTGCAGGGAGATTTATGTACAGTCGACCCCTTATAAAACAGGTTCATATAATACAGATTCGTATATAATAGTGAAAAAATTGCGATCATATTTGTATAAACATGCTAAAAGAAACTCGTATAAATCAGTAAAATGTCATCGCCAACTCGTGTTGCAACAAGATTGGTCGAATCGAGACCAATAGCTGATATTGCACAAACAGCTGAGTTTAAACGAGCAGTGGACCTACCAAAAACCATTTATTATTTAACGGCCATAAAAATTATATTTATATTAATGATGTTTCCAAAGTTCAGCAAATTTTTTGCAGAAAAATAATTTATCAGGAAACACGCACCCACCATTCGATGCACCACTCCATGACGAAAACAAGCTTAAGTAATGGCGTCATCAAATGGTGCACACTCGGTAAGTAATCCTACAATTTTTTGTTTTTTAGCATAGTTTATATGGATTATTCCCAAAAAATTATACATGTTTTGGAAATATTGAGTCAAATTAGTCTAGAATCGATTAATTTTATGAAAGAAAACCTTTCAAACAGCTGTAGTCCCTAAACTGCATACGTGCTGGGCTTGATTGGCTCATGTATTTAAGTGATCATAAAACGCAAATTCATATAAAACGGAATGTATCTACTGTATTATAGGGGGTCTACTATATTATGGAAATTGATGCTGTTAAATTTTGGTGGTTAAAAGTTGAGAAGGTGGGGAGATAGAGAGAATCATATGTCATATCATGAATGGGGTTGGATTTAATGAACATTTTACTAGTTATTAGGATTTATAACTTTTTATAAAACTCATCTCTACCCTGAAAATTAAGCTTTTTCTGAATCTTCCCAAAGCTAGTTATACACTATTAAATGACACCACCAAAACCTTCAAAATATACCAGCATTCTAATTCTATCAAACACTTTTGACCTGACACAGATCCTATTGAGATTGAATACATTTGTCATAACATATTTATATTAATTTACATTTGTTGGTATATTTTGATGATTTTGGTGGTGTTATTTAATTAAGCTTTTTTGTCATTTTATATATTAATTAATTATATAAAAATTTTTAAAATAAAATATAACATATGGCACCACATGCAATTTTAAATGTTGCTGATGAGAAAGTTATACAACTCATTACTAGATTTTGACTGTGGAGAAAACACCATGAAACAAAATTGATAAGAACACAAATATTGTTTATGAACCTCTTTGTTTTCCATGCATAGTGTTTTTTGATAGTACCAACTCTTTTATGGTAGATGAACAAACACTGCAGACCAGCCAAGATAAGGAACATTGCTATTTCACTGACAATTGCACATGTGAATGTTGCACTTAAGAATCCTGATCAGAGATCTTGTGAACAGTGAAGATATGAACATCAGAACTGTTAACACCATTTATACTTGGGATATTGTAAGGTCTGCCTCACATGGATGCCAAAATATCCAATGAATGGGACTATTGTTACAGTTTCTAGCCCTCTACTATGAATAAGGTGATGATTTCCTGCTAAGCATTATTGCCAGGGATGAAAGCTGGTGTCATCACTTTGATCCATATTCAAAATGGCAGAGCATGCATTGGAAATATCTATCATCTCCATCACTGACAAAAATCACAATCTACCACTTTTACAGGCAAGATGATGTTAACCTTATTTTTTGACCATCCAGGACCATTGTTTCGTGACTGGCTACCAAAGGATCAACCATCAATATTAAATGCGATTGTCAAACTTTATGAAAGCTTCAGATCATCAAAAAAAAGAAACCTGGAAACCTGACTCAGGATATTGTGCTTCTGCACATGGCAGCTACCATGCAAACAAAATTATGCACTTTCACTGGAAAGCAAAGACATTACAATGTTCTTTGTATGGTAGCTGCACATTCACATTAATTCCATATTCAATACCTAGTTGACTTGTCATGCTGTAATTTTCACATCTTTGGATTTATGAAAGAATTCCTAAATATTAAATAGGGTTCTGTTTAGATGACCAAGTGTATGAAGATGTGGAGAACTAGTTGAAACAGCAGTCTTCCTTTTCCTGTGCTACAGGAATACAAGGACTTGTGCAACACAGGGACTACTGTCTAAATGTTGGGGATGTGGCTTGGTTGATCCTTGTTTCTTTTTTTGTTTATTTCTCTTTCTTCCACCATTTTTCTTTCATAAATTTCACTTCCAGCCTTTTTTCTGTTAACCTCACCATAATTGGTTGACCCAATTGTCCAATGGGCCACTAGAGAAGAGGGGTGACATCGGATTGGTCAAAGGGGACTGGCACGAGAGGAAAGGGGAAAAATTGTCATTCTGGGAGAAGAGCTGGGAAGGAGAAGACATAGATATCAGTGAATACGGAAAGAAGACATCTCTGGAACAACGGACTTGAGGTTCAAATTTTTGCCAGTCACCCCCCTTTGACTCTTTTTCTATCAAAATTCTATTCTTGTCAATCCCATGTTGATCGAAGGCCCTTTTTTGTGTTTACTTTGTTAAGTTATAGTTAAGATAGACATAAGTTAGAATAAGTTCTTTGTTTTGTTGGCAAGTGCAAATCAGCTGGTTGTATTGTTATGGTTGGTCATGAGGATCTCTGTAAATTCCTAGTTTATAAGCTTGTATAATTGTTCTTCAGAAAACTTCGGTTTTAATTGTAAATAATAATTTTTTTTTATCAACACTGAGTGATTCTTAGGATTCTGTCATTTGCTCTCGGCTACAATGGCAACTATGTTTAGAAATGTCATGTTTTAACTCTTTCAGGCAGAAAAATTCACTATTTATTGAACAAATCTTATATGTTCTTACACTAAAATGAGAATAAATAAACGAAATAGGAACATCCTTACAGCCACTGCTCGTACAAAAAAAACAGGAAACTTCATGTTTTGTAACAAAAATTAATATACATAATAAGCACTACGATAAATATATGAACACAAAATAACCGTAAATAATTTTGATTAATATATATGTTACAGTTACTAGTGTAAAATATAAAATGACATGAATGTCCATTTATTTACACCAGTGATTGTTAACCGATACTCCACAAACTTGCCTCGCATGTTACATAACAGATTTTAAAGTTTTTATTGTAAATTTATCCCAATGTACTACAATATATTATCATACTCATAGGCAATTTCATGTTTCTGTTTTATTCAATACATTAAAGTTTATTAGTTTATTGCTTCCTGAAAATAGTAGACATGGAATTGCTTACCAATAAAGCTTGAACCTTATGCCAAATATTACATAAAAAAAAAGGAAAAACACACCGAGAGTGGCATTAGCAGTTTTTTATTTTCACTAGTGTTTTCAATGAACTTATATTCATCATCTTCAAGTAAACAAAATTTTAAAATAGAACACAACATTCTAGTGCAGATGGAACAAATATTATGTAACGTTGCCAACAGAGTTGCCGTAGTCAGGACTGATAAGGGGTTGAGAGGGTCATATGTGGGGGGCAATTGGTACCGAGACAGACTCTACAGTTACAAGAAACAGTTTATTTAACACGAAAGGAGCTTACAAGATTTCTGCAATTTTGGAAGTTCTAAGTTGGCAGCGGCTTCTAGGTCTTCCTCTCCTTTCCAAATGAAGGAGCGCCCGAAGTTCGTGGATGACAGTTTCGTCGACAACTCCAGGATGATGCAGTCAACTTCCAGTGATGGGAAAATGTCAATCCAAAGATGGGAGATAGAGACAAAGATACTACACACAGATACAACAATTGGTCTAACACTTGGAACTTTCAGCAGATAAAGCAGTCACATTCCTTGAATTCCCAGATTTTTATTAATTTCTATCCTTAACTGCCCATTCCAATCCTCATTCTCAGTTTATAAGAGGTTGTTACTAAGTGTAATGAGATCTCAACTTAGATCGTGGAGAGGTCAAAATTAAAGTTTAATTCAATCCCAACCAGAGATGGTCAATCTTAAGACTTACATTCTTCTATTGTTTATAAGTTCACATTGTATTTTCATACAAAAAATTATTTATAGCTTGTATTTTTTTTGTTTAAAAAATTATTTTAACATAAATTTCAGTGAGGGTTCAGACCTGTCCAGAGCCTCACAATTATTTAAATTAAAAGTCATTATGAGCATGCTCAAAATTCAATTATGCAAGATATTGAATAACATCATGCAGCACATGCGTGGATATATATACATATGAAAGGTATGATGGCAGTTGTATATAACTGCTTAGCAGTTTATATAGGGCAACTCACAATTTGGGTAGACTGGGCAGGTCAAGTGCGGGTTGCACTCCCACACTTGACTTGCCCAGCATAACAACCTATGCTTGTTTATCTTTTACTTTTCTACACATCCTCTTCTACAACTTAGCAAAAATTGGTTTAGTCTATTGTAACCTTGTTCGCAACTCTCTTTTCCC